CATCTTCCTTGCATTTACCTGGGTCCTCAAAGATCCTGACTATTTTCTTGCAGCTCGTTTATTACATAACCGTGATGAAATAAGGGAAAGTTCCAATGTGCATGTAAATTCGTATTTAGCTTTTAAATAAACACAGGTTTATCATATTGTGAACTTCAGAAAATAAAATGTGTGGAAATAAGAAATTTGGAGGGGATTGAGAGGACTTCAAAGCCATTTCCTTCTTCCAGGATTCAGTAAGAGAGCCATCGACGATGTTTCGTCTTCTGTACAACTCTATGACAAACACCCGACTGGTTAAAGTGCGCGTTACTGTGTCAACTCCCGTTTGACAGATTGCCTGGGATGGTGGAGGGCTGTGGGGTCCTAAGCCCGGTCTGGGCTGAACGCTTGGGTCTAGTCCAGCAGCCGTGTCTCCTGAAGCTCTTTAAATGGGGAGTCAAGTGACCGTTTCAAACCTGTGCAGACCCGCAGCAGGCAAACTCCAGCCATGGACCTGGAAGTTAGGAGCAACTGTAGCCCTGAGCAAAAAAATCTATAAACGTGCCCCCCCCCCCCCATTTTCAGTAGAGAACAATTTGTGTGTCGGTGGGAATTTTCTGTCTTCCCTACCTCTGTGGTTCATTTCTACAAACCTCACAGGAGTCAGGTAAGGAACTCTTAATTTTAACTGCAGAGGGTGAGGGTCTCATTTAAGCAAACTGATTTAAATAAGTTTATTGGGGTGGTACCTATTAAAACTGTCCAGCCAGCATCTATCTTTTGACGAAGATAGCACTGTGAAGGACGTTACCTTGGCGTTCTGCTTCCCTCAAAGTACGCCCATTTTGATGAGAAATAACTGAAAACTGAATTTCGGGCTTTTGCTTTTACCTCCCAGTCACCATCCCTGCTGTGAAAGAGCTGCGAAGGAATGCTTCTACTCTTTTGAAAGGTGTTTCCTAGCAACATCCTCAGTTCAGTTTGTAGAGGGGACTCATTGTACCCGTGCCCCGCCCTGCCCGGCCTTAGTAAAGTCTAGGATCCTCATCTCTGGTGTTTTCTCCTTTGCTGCTCTGTTGAATTACGTGTTGAGTTCTTGTTCTTCTGTAGGTTCTATTTGCTGCTGGCTCGGAGCCGCACGTTCTGCCCTCTGGACAGAATGCTGCCTGTTTTTGGCATTTCCCTTGCATTCTCAACTTGAAACTTCTTTTCTCGATCAATAACTAGGACTTTAGGATGTTCTTACTACTTTTTCTACTAATACTTTATGAAATACTGTAATTCTTTTTTCTTTTTTTCTCCCCTTATCTAGAAAGAGCCCTCAAGGGCCGAAAGTGTAACCCACGGTAGATTATTGTCACAGAAGTTATTATTGAGCGGCACAAGGAAGTAATTCCTGAACCCTTCTATATGTTATAGGAATTGGAGCCAAGGATCAAAATAATCTTTAAAGCTTCAATGAAGAAATTCCTTGAAATTTAATACTCAGATAATTATGACTGGACCATGAAGAAAGCGGGAATTTTCATGCATAAAATCGGAAGTCATTCCTTAGACTTACTTTAAACAGCACGCTATGTGGCATGATGGGTGCCAAGTCACTTGAGTGTGTGTTTCATGAAGCATTTGACTGAAAGAAAGATTTGAATCTTGAAGCAGCTGACTAATGTTCTTTGCTATCTATCTTCAACCAAAAGTAGTCTCATAAACAAGAACTCAGTTAGCTACATCTTTCAATAGCTAAATACGACCTCAGTATTTGGTTTTACTCTTTTGAAGTACATAAAATTTCAGCAAAGTTTCCTTTCCTTAATAAGCAGTTTATAAATGGAGAACATAAAACATTGCTTTGGAAATAATCTAGTTACTTCAAGGAAACAATATTGTGACCACTTGTGAACTCCTCACATGTAAAGTACTTACACCATTTTTTAATTATTTTTATTTATTTATTTATTTGGTTTTTCAAGATAGGGTTTCTCTGTGTAACAGTCCTTGCTGTCCTGGAACTCCCTTTATAGACCAGGCTGACCTCAAACTCACTGAGATCCATATGCCTCTGCCTCCAAGTGCTGAGATTAAAGGCATGCACCACCACCTGGCTTTTTTTAAATTGATATATTCCTTATAAAACATACACACACATACAAACACACACTTTGAGCTAAACAATCCTTTTCAAGTACTTTGTTAAATACCAAAATACATTCTTTTTGAAAATATACTCTTACAGTTCAAACATTAGTAGGTTTTTCATTAAAACACTATATGTGTTGAAATATCTGCCCAATCATATGATCAAGATTCCATAAATTTTTTATAGTTTTTATTTTTTTAGAATTCTCTGAAATATTGTTCTTTCTACTACATGTTTAAAAAACTCAATGATTTTTTTTCATAAGAAACGTCTAAAAGATCTAAAAGGTATTTACAAACAATTTTAAATCAATGAAGGCAGGGTTTACTTTACAGTTTTAATTTTGAATAATTGACATGAATTGAATTGAATTTCTGTGAGATTCTGTGAGTTCTTCAGTACCTGGAGAACTGTCATAGTCTTCAGACTCAGTTCTGGTTTTCAATACTTCTTTAAAAGTTTATTAATTGATAATAAGGATTGTATTACATGAAATTCTTTTTTTAAGTTACATCTTTGTGTTTGTGTGTATGCGTGTTTATATGTGGTGCTAAGGATCAAACCCAATGCCTTGGACTGTGCATTGTACATTTAAAGTAAGGATTTAACATTGAACTGCATCTCCAGTCCAGGAATGTGTTTATAATGGAGCACAATATTGTATTTTGCTTTCATTTGTGTATATATATGTATATATATCATTTATATACATATAAATATCCATTGGAGCCTTTTATGCATTCTTATAAGTTTTCTTCTTTTTCTCTTCCTCCTCCTCCTCTTCTTCTTTGTGCTTTGGCCATTTTGCTGCTGTAGGAGCGATATGGGACTTTTTGATGACTCTGTGTTGAAATAGCAGAGCGAAACAACTTAAGATTAGAAAGATTCAGGCTTCTGTAACTCACACTTGCAAAGGTTTCTGTCTTCCAGATGGAGGGCACCTCCTATCATGGCCGACAGGCGCAGAATCTGTGTTTGGTAGTCCCTTTTTTCCCACTTTTTTCCAACCTGGGTTCCTTGACTATGGGATAGTGTTGCCCACATCACGGTGGCTCTCCTCACGTAGTTAATCCTCTCTGGAAATGTTCTCACAGGTACACCCAGGGATGGGCTTTACTAATCTAGGTATTTCCCAATCGCACCAAGATGACAAGATTAACCACCACAGCAATTCACTGGGCTTAAAAAGACAAAAGGAAAATAATTGATTCCCTTGCAAAGTGAGGCAATCCTGAAATGTCTTCACCACTAAAAGCCATCTGCAGAGCCATTGTGCAACCCTTTATGCGGCCTCATCTTTCAGAATGCAAAAAAGCTGCAAGGTCCTACTTTTGTACTCATCTTTAAAAGTTTTTATTAAACACAAGTCATAATTTAATATTTTTCACCTTCTGTCCAGAATGTATTACTTTGAGAACTTTTAACATCCAATTATGCTGCATAAAAGTCTGAAACCATTCTTTTCTTATAATTGATAAATATTTTTCATTTTTAGATTAACTGTAACTGCAGTAACCAGCCGACTAAATGGTCTCATCTTCACCTCATCTCTTTCCTCACAACTTCTTCTTGGCGTGCTCCTGCCTTCGGTCTTTTCCCACTTGATGAAGAGTCTCTCGTGCATTTAGGCTGCTCAACATCTTGGAAGTCTGAAAGATGGTGGGCAGGGAGGTTCTGGCTTCAGGATAGCAAGATGAATTTAATGTCATCTTCAGGACTGCATTGTCCTCTCATTTTACCCTTGAGTTTGAGAAAAACCACCTGATATGAAGCTATCTGAGCATTAGTCAAGGAGTGGCATATACAAGTCATCGTTGTTCATGGCCAGGGGTTAGGCGTCTCTGTACTCAGATTCCAATTCATCCAATGGGAACCCTTCCTACATCAACTTTCTTTGATACTTTGGGCAAAAAAATGAAAACTATTTTTAAAGAGTTTTTTTTCTTTCATTAAATTTTCTTCTTAAAAATTTAAAACAATCTTAAAATACTTTCTGAATCACTTTTTAAATGTCTTTGTATCTGTTGGGATGTAAAAGGAAATAGAAGAGGTGGGGAGAGAAGGACTTTATCTTGAGACTAGTCTAGAAATTGGGCACGGGCTCACCTTCCCCTGTGCTAGTGTTCCCTACTGCAGACCCTGCTTTTGTGTCCGTCCATGGTCCTAAAGCAGATGGTCACGCAGACTGGGATTGGAGAGCCTGAGCCTGAAAGGAGCAAAGCGAATACTCGAGATGCCTTTGCCTGCTGTTCTCCTGTGCAGTCCTGATGAGGTGACAGTGCACAGTTTCCAAGTTGTGCCCTCAGCCTTCTAGGTTCTCATTTATCCGTACTTCAGAGAGCAAGAGCATGTGTGTGTTTATGGCTAGTTTTCTTTCTAGAATTAATATATAAAGTTTCATATCTAGTGTGTTATGTGTGCTAATTACAATTAGCATAGTGGGCCTCATACTTAAGGAGTTTTTATTTGTCGTTTCTGTTGTTGTTCCTGAGGTTAAGCTATACATCCAGTGTGCTTTCTGATTTAGGAAATTATGGTTATTAGGCTGTCACCTAGTTCTTCTGGTAAGGGAGGAAATAAGCAATGAGACAGGTAACTGACTGTTCTGTACAACATTGGGGCGTGTTTGCAAACTCTCCTATGAATAATTGCATAGCTGCTCACAAACTCTTATCTCATCCTTCGGTTGCAATTGCGTATGGTTAAGGCTCCTTGCCTACTACAAATCACGTATCAAATGGATGTGGCTGTCATGTGTATGTGTGCTTAGTATCCGTGTGTAATTTCTATGCATAAACTCATGCTATATTTTATTCCTTGTAGGTAATAAGCATGATTCAGTTCTGTACCTCCTTAACTGTTTTTATTTATTTAATTTTAGATACTGACATGTACATTTGGTGAGCAACAAACGATGAAGAAAGACCAACAGTATAGTCCCTGAGAAGGGCTGCCTGCGTGCCACTACATACCTCTGTGTTAAGGGCGGAGTTCCGGCTGCTCCTTGCCTAGCTGCTGATGAGTGCTGGGGTCTGCATTGCTGGCTGCCTGCCTCTTGCCTGTCACTGCCAGACGACATCCCGGTCAGAATGTAACTGCACATCCCTCCCTGATCGCTAGTGAAGGTGACCGACTGATATTGACTTCCTGAAGTTGGGTCTTACCAGGTGAAACAAAGCATCTTCAAAGTGAATAGAAGCCACGCCCCTGTGAACACTTGTATTGAACATGACTCATGGAGAAGAGCTTGGCTCTGATGTGCATCAGGATTCTATTGTTTTAACTTACCTAGAAGGATTACTAATGCATCAGGCAGCCGGGGGATCAGGTACTGCCCTTGACAAAAAGTCTGCCGGCCACAACGAAGAAGACCAGAACTTTAACCTTTCTGGCGGTGCCTTCCCCTCCTGTCAAAGCAATGGTCCCACGCTCAATACACACACATACCAGGGATCCGGCATGCTGCATCTCAAAAAAGCCAGACTGCTGCAGTCTTCTGAGGACTGGAACGCGGCAAAGCGGAAGAGGCTGTCTGATTCCATCGTGAATTTAAACGTGAAGAAGGAAGCTTTGCTGGCTGGCATGGTTGAGAATGTGCCTAAAGGCAAGCAGGATAGCACGCTACTGGCCTCTTTGCTGCAGTCATTCAGCTCCAGGCTCCAGACTGTTGCTCTGTCACAGCAAATTAGACAGAGCCTCAAAGAGCAAGGATATGCCCTCAGCCACGATTCCTTAAAAGTGGAAAAGGATTTAAGGTGCTACGGGGTGGCCTCAAGTCACTTAAAAACGCTGCTGAAGAAAAGTAAAACCAAGGAGCAAAAGTCAGGTCCCACCCCCCCTGATGTGACTAAAAACCTCATCAGAGACAGCTTTGCGGAGTCACCTCATCATGTCGGACAAAGTGGGGCAAAGGTCATGAGTGAACCTTTGTCATGTGCAGCGAGATTACAGGCTGTTGCCAGCATGGTGGAAAAAAGGGCTAGTCCTGCCACCTCCCCCAAGCCTAGTGTTGCCTGCAGCCAGTTAGCGCTGCTCCTTTCGAGCGAAGCTCACCTGCAGCAGTACTCGCGGGAGCATGCTCTAAAAACCCAGAATGCACACCAAGCAGCAAGCGAAAGGCTTGCTGCCATGGCCAGATTGCAAGAAAATGGTCAGAAGGATATCAGCAGTTTCCAGCTCCCCAAAGGGGTGTCTGGCCATCTCAATGGACAGGCCAGAACCTCCTCATCAAGCCGACCGGTGGCTAGCAAGAATAACGCAACATCATTTCAGAATCCAATGGGTGTTGTTCCGTCTTCCCCCAAAAGCACGGGCTATAAAACCCCGCTGGAAAAGAACAACATAAAGCAAGCCGCTAATAACAGTTTGCTCTTACACCTGCTCAAGAGCCAGACCATACCCACGCCGATGAACGGGCACAGCCAGAGCGAGAGAGGCAGTCGTTTCGAGGAGAGCAGCACACCCACGACAATGGACGAGTACTCTGATAACAACCCTAGCTTCACAGATGAGAGCAGCGGAGACGAAAGCTCCTACTCCAACTGCGTTCCCATAGACTTGTCCTGCAAACACCGCATTGAAAAGCCAGACGCCGACAGACCCGTGTCTCTTGAGAACCTCACTCAGTCCTTGCTAAACACCTGGGATCCCAAGGTCCCTGGGGTGGATATCAAAGAAGATCAAGATACCTCAAAAAATTCCAAGCTGAATTCACACCAGAAGGTCACTCTTCTTCAGCTGCTACTTGGCCATAAAAGTGAAGAAAACGTTGAAAGGAATGCCAGCCCTCAGGAAGTCCACTGTGATGTGACTAAGTTCAATCCGCAGAATTACACAAGGACTTCTGTCATTGAAAGCCCCAGTACAAACAGGACTACCCCTGTGAGTACTCCACCACTGCACACAGCCGCCAAAGCCGAGTCTCCCATCAATCTTTCGCAGCCCTCGCTGGTCATCAAGTGGAATTCCCCGCCATATGCCTGCAGTACCCCCACTTCAAAACTAACCAGTGCTGTGGCTGGCCACTTGATGGACCTCACCCAAAGCAAAGAATCGCCCGCTGAGAAACCAGCCCCAAGTGAGAGTGCACAAAATTCGACCACGTTCAGTGCCAGTAAACTGTTACAAAATTTGGCCCAGTGTGGAATGCAGTCTTCCATGCCCGCGGAAGATCTCAGACCCAGCAAACAGCTGCTAAGTGGAAACACAGACAAACCTCTTGGTGTGATTGATAGGTTAAATAGCCCTCTGCTCTCAAATAAAACAAATGCAGTTGAAGAAAACAAAGCCTTCAGCAGTCAGCCAGTGGGACCTGATCCGCCACTTCCTGGTTGTGAGATAGAAAATCTGCTGGAAAGACGCACGGTCCTCCAGCTGCTCCTGGGAAATTCCAGCAAAGGGAAGAACGAAAGGAAAGAGAAAGTTGCTTTGCGTGACGAGGCTACTCAGGAGCATCCGGAGAGATCTGGAAGTGAACAAATACTGATGGTGAAAATCAAATCCGAGCCTTGTGATGACGTCCAGCTTCACAGCGCAGGTGTGCATTTAAACCACGAAGCTAAGAGCGCCGCCTTCTTCGGCGCCACTCCCACCATGCGGAGGAGTACAGCTGCCTTACCAGTATCCGAGGACTTGAAATCGGAGCCCACCTCGCCTCAGGATTTTTCTTTCTCCAAGAATGGTCTGTTAAGTCGGTTGCTGAGACAGAATCAAGAGAGTTACGCAGCAGAAGATCAGGAGCGGAGTCACAGAAATAGTGAGCCGACACCCCTGGAATCGAAGAACTTCTGCATGGTCCCCAAGAAAAGGAAGCTTTATACGGAGCCGCTCGACAATCCGTTTAAAAAAATGAAAAATAGTGCAGTAGAGACCGCCAGTAATCACAGCGCCCCGGAAGTGCTCTATGGGTCCTTGCTTAATCAGGAAGAGCTGAAAGTTAGCCGAAATGATCTTGAGTATAAGTACCCTGCTGGTCATAGTTCAGCCAGTGAGAGTGAACACAGGAGTTGGGCCAGAGAGAGCAAAAGCTTCAATGTTCTGAAACAGCTGCTTCTCTCAGAGAACTGTGTGCGCGATTTGTCTCCGCACAGGAGTAACTCGGTCGGCGACAATAAAAAGAAAGGACACAAAAACAGTGTGCCCAGTAGCAAACCCGAATTCGGCATTTCTTCTTTAAACGGACTGATGTATAGTTCCCCTCAGCCCAGCAGTTGTGTGGATAATAGGACATTTTCATATCCGGGAGTGGTAAAAACTCCGCTGAGCCCTCCTTTCTCAGAGCACTTGGGCTGTGTGGGGTCCAGACCAGAACCTGGGCTTTTGAATGGGTGTTCCATGCCCATGCCCAACGAGAAGGGACCCATTAAGTGGGTCATCACAGATGTGGATAAGAGTGAATACGAGAAAGACTCCCCAAGACTGACCAAAACCAACCCCATCCTCTATTACATGCTCCAGAAAGGAGGAAATTCTGTTACCACTCGGGAAACACAGGACAAAGAACTCTGGAGGGGGCCTTCCTCTGCTGAGAGTGTCTCACAGGTTACAGTCAAAGAAGAGCTGCTTCCTGCAGCAGCAACTGACGGCTCCTTCTTCAATCTAAGAAGCCCTTACAATAGCCATATGGGAAATAATGCTTCCCGCCCACACAGTACAAATGGAGAAGTTTATGGGCTTCTGGGAAGCGTGCTCTCCATAAAAAAAGAATCAGAATAACGCGTACCTGCCATATCACTTTGGATCTTTTTAAAATTAATCAGTATGAACTTGAGATCTGTATAAATAAGAGCATGATTTGAGAAAAGCATGGTATAACTGAAACTTCTTCATTTTGAGAGTATTGGTTACTGGTGATGTTTCAATATGCATACTAATTTTTGCTTAACATTAGATGTCCTGAGGAAGCTATTGAGCTAGAAGTTGGTTGTTTACTGCTTCTGTATGTGTCAGATAACAGCTGTGAGTAGCCAATGAATGGAACTATTTTATAACCATAAATCTGAGGCATACGTTAGAATGCAAAACTCCATCAACAGTGGATTGATGCAGTTTGCTTGCTCTCTTTATTAGGGTACTTCATTTCGCATCTCAGAAGTCAGCCTACATAGCGTGTTTTTAAAGTCCAAATTGTTAACTATCTGAAAGATAATCAAATTAAGAGAAACACAGAAGCCTTGTGCTGAGTCACATCTCCTCAGTCCAAAAGTTAGGAAAAGGAATGCTTACATTTTTCAATTTTGCTAAACAAAAATTCTTTTTAACTCTTGGAACAAGTTTTGAGATTCCCATTGTCTGCCCCACCCCAGACCTTTTCAATATGTATTTCTTTGAACCTTGTACTATTTAGTAAAAATTGATTACAATTGAGGGGAGTTTAATAGATCCTTAACAATAAAAGGCAGATTTCCATTTTTTTATATTTTGACTACTAAATTAATACCTCCTCCTTTTGCAAATTTCAGGAAGGCAGTGTTCATCCTCAGGCGGTTGCCTGAATAATTGACTACTTAGAAATAGTTTTTAACAAAAGCAAAACAAATTTTCTTCTGACAGTTTTCACCATCTCTTGTGAGAGTTACTCCTCACCATCCCTGTGGTACCTGGAAATCTTAGGACCAGGATTTCTTAATCCTGGGCACAGAAACTGCATTAGGACCATCTGGAGCAGATTGCTGGGCAGCATCTCAGGTCTACAGAACAGGTTTTCTGCTGGACCTGGGAGGCTCCAGCCTGCATCTTTATATGTTCTGTATGTGTTTAAAAACCACGGCCTACAACTTTGCCGGAACATGGAACTTTAAAGAAACTATTTGATGCCTATATTTTCCCCCAATACAGTCACACATCAACTCAAAATTTGCAATATTGTAGTTCCTATATTGCTGTTATATCTTTGGAAATCAGGTTCAGAATACTTTTTATGACAAAACAAATCAGGTAGAGGGGACAATTTTCCTATCTGGGTCAACATCTCAGGAAAAATCTGTGATTATTTATTTGTTCTAATTAGTAACATCGACTTAATTAGCCTTAGGGATGGAATAACAGGGCCACTTAGCAAACTCAGGTGATCCCAGGATGGTTAGGAAACTTCTCCTGAATACATCCTTCCCTTCTCTTCAAACCATCTTCTGCAGAACAGTGCTTATGAAGATAGCAGTTTAAACCCAAGGAAGACATTAAACTCAGATTGCCTGGAAAAAAATCACAGGGCACTTTTCCATGACAGAACCTACATGGTCACTTCACGACACCAACTCATTCTAGACGTATTGAAAGTAAACACTGATAGTGTCTTGGAAGATCTTACTCTGTAATTGAGCCACATGGAATTTCGACCCTAAAACAGGTTGGGTTTTGAGTTCAGTTTTACAGCCCACAATTCACCTACCAGACAATATTTTCCCTTCGGTCTTGAACCAGGTTAGCAACCGACTTAATCAAAAAATTACTGTGTACTCTATAATTAAGTAGGAGGAAGTTTATTTGAAGTTGTTGTATGTACTTGAAGCTGTTTCTAAGGTTTTTTATATTGCAAATGGACATTATTTCTTAATTATCTAAAATTCTAAATGCTTATTTTTTTTCTCAAGATGATTTGTAAATAGTTAATGGATATGTTCTATGGTAATCGGAGTGTATATTATGCTACACAGAGGGAGAGGAAAGCCTATGCTTATTCTGATATGAAAAATTCCACTGGCCAGTGAAGATACTTTACTCCATGTCCATACTGTGACAATCTCATTGTCTACACTATATAAATAAGCTTTACACTAAGTCATATTTCTCGGTTATTGTGAAAGGGCTAGGGCCTTAGAAATCTGTTGTAGGATGCTGGTGTTCATCCTCAGTTGGAGGCAATGGGCTTCTTACAAAGTGACGCAGCACTTCGGTCAGGGAACCGTCCAGAGCCACCATTGCTTTGTTTTGTTTGTTTTTTGTAACACGAAGGCCGTTGTTGGAATGGGAATATGTAATGCAGAAATAAATATGACCGTAAAGAATACTGTTCTGACTTACTAGAGAATACCCGCACAGTGAGGTTAGTGTAATCTTAATGAAGAGAAAGGGCATACATCGTCCAATTTACTTTGTTTATGCGTATGTAGATTCAAATATGCACACATACACATTTTCAAGGACTATTTTCGATATCTAGGCAATTTCTTCCTAATAAAGTCATTTGTGAAAGGGGACTGCAGCTCTCATTGACATCGGTAAGGTAGCACTACCTGTTTATTCTCTGCACATCTTACAGAGGGATAAACTGGTGAGAATATATATTTTCTATATATATATATAAAATGTGTATATATATATATTGACTTGTTAAATGAAGATGTTAAAATTGGTTTTTAAAGGTAATGTAAATAGTGATTTCCTTAATGAAAAAAATACATATTTTGTATTGTTCTAATGCAACAGAAAAACCTTTTAATTTCTTTGGTTCCTGTATATTCCATGTATAAGTGTAAATATAATCACACAGGTTTTAAAAAATTGTGCATGTATGTATACAGTTGCAAGTCTGGACAAATGTATAAAATAAACTTTTATTTAAGTTGTGATTACCTGCTGCATGAAAAGTGCATGGGGAACCCTGTGCATCTGTGCATTTGGCAAAAAAAATGTCTTACCAAGTCAGATCAGATGTTCATCCCAACACGACAGTATTCCATTTCTGGACATGACTTCTGTGGCTTACACTTTGTGAGAGAATGTGCTTTCAATCCAAGGGTCTTAATTTAAAAAAAAAAAATCAACCACTTTCAACATAAGAATTCACAGAACTTCACAAATCTTAAAATCCCATTGGAAACATTACAGCCAGTGTTCCTGCAGGCACAGTACCATTTATGGTTTGAATTCTGGGGTTTGCAACCAGTTTCGATGCAATCCACTTAGTAATATAATTTGCCATTTTTATTAGAAATTTAATTTCTTCATATGGTATCATGAATTGTACATACTGCAGTGTGAATTTTTTGTTTTGTTTTTTTTTAATCTTTTAGTGTTTACTTCCTGCAGTGAATTTGAATAAATGAGAAAATGCATTGTCTCTAACTTGAAATGACTTATTTTTGCGGGTTCTCTCTGGTCTTTAGTTTTACATTACTGTCCAAGTCCCAGGTCATTTAAAAAGAAAAAATAAATAAAAGCAATATATCATGTATTTTGTCTGTCTCAGAAAAATGAAGGGGAAAAATAAGCAACAGACCAGCCAGTTAGTATATTTAGAAACATGTAATTAAAGCATAGCTCAAAATGACAGTTGGCCTGTGGTCTGTCTTCCATTTATCACTGTGTAACTCAATGACCACTACATTTTTTTTTTTAGACTGAAGTTTGTACAATGTTCCAAAATAAAGCTAATTAGATACATATACATTGTCTTAAGATTTTTGTCAGGGGTTTTATTTTATTTTTTTCTGGGTTTTGTTTTTAATGCAAAAAGTTTGGATTACTTTCCAAATAAATCTGTATATAGAAAAAGAGTTAAATGTGGTCAGCTGTATACGTCTGTGGTCAGGGACTGAGACATTTGCTTCATGTCTGTTGGCAGTAGTAAAGACTGAGCCCGAGGCCTCCATCTGGGCAAGTGTTCTGCCACCGAGCTAGATTCACAACGTTATTTTTACTTTTTATTTTGAGACAAGATCTCACAAAGTTGCCTAGGGTATCCTTGAACTCCCTTTTTTGACCTTGAATTCTTGTTTAAGGCCTCCTAAGGAGCTAAAATTTATCGTTCTGAGCCATCAGACCCAACTAAGACCAGCTTATTTAGGGAGAAAAACAGTGAAATAAGCCTCTCTTCTCTTCAGTTTCCACTTAGGTCTGAGTTTCGGATTATTGAGAATGGAGGCATTGGCCCAACAGCAAGTTCTGTTTCCTTGGACCAAAATTGTCCCCAGGTGCAACAGATTTCTCAATGGGTTTGTAGACTTTTCAACTCAATGGCAGAGCCCCCTTTAGCACACCCAAATCCCCAGCCCAACTTCGCTGTCCATCACTGCAGAAAAGCTCATGAGTCAGCTCAGGTCTTAAAGACACACCTTGCTGTTGCACGCTCTCTGTATTGATAGAGTCCATCGCATTTGTGCACATAGATACTGACTTCAAAATGAAGGATGGAAAGCCGTGTTCTTATTTCCAAGGCGGGAAAGCCTAAGTGCATTGCCCGAGATGGATTTTTAAAAGATCCACCGGTTAATACGTTTTTTGAACTTTAATATGAAGAGTCTTCAAAACCCAATCGAGTTAGAATTACCCATGCTCTGCCAAGTTCTAGTCCATGCTTTTCAGTGTGGTAATATCAAGAACAACAAGCAGAAATTTCATTGCCTGCCACTGGGGCCACTAAATTGACCTGTTTGGCTACAGAAAGTAGATTTTAAATGTTAAATTGGTAAATGTGCTGTACCGTTTTGGTTTTTATTCCACAGAATTAGTAGGTGAGCTGATGCTGTGCTGTCTCTTAAGGGCAGGTACTTTGTTGGCAGCATGCAGCTTTGAGTTAATACTCCAATTTCGTACTTTGTTAATGCAATACTATTAACGTTTTCAAGATGTCTTCTGGAGTAAGTTAAGCATGCCTGCTCTTAAGAATCAGATAATGTATTTCTAAGTTAACAAGACAGTTGGAAATAACCTTAAAATCCCATAAGTTCTGCCACACCTAACCCTTCTATGAGCTTCTACAAGTAAATGTATTGGAATTCTTGGGTTTTTTTGTTTTGTTTTGTTTTTTTGTTTTTTTTTAATGACAGAGACCCAGAGGAGCTGCTGTTTGCCCCTGGGCTTCACCAAACATAGTGAACATGATACCCCAAATTGAGAAAACTTTTTCTTTTCACTTTTCAGTCCTTTTTCACTAATCTCTCACTTTTGCGGATAAACTCTCGTTTTTGAGACCACTTGCAAAGGAGGAAGTATATTACTGGTGTAGGAGTTCCTTCTGTTTATGTGTTGCTTTCATTGGTTAATCAATAAAGAAACTGCTTGGCCTGATAGGGCAGAACTTAGGTAGGCAGAGAAGACAGAACTGAATTCTGAGAGGAAGAGAGCAGAGAGAGAACCACCATGGAGCTGCCAGAGTCAGACATGCTGAATCTTTCCCGTTAAGCCATGACCTAGTGGTGATACACAGAATTAGAAAAGGGTTAGATTAAGATGCGAAAGTTAGTCAATAGGAGTCTAGAGCTAGTGGGCCAAGCAGTAATTTAATTAATACAATTTCTGTGTGGTTATTTTGTGTGTAAATTAGCTGGGCAGCCGGAACAAACAAAGGTCCCCTCTCCCCTCAACATATTACAGATATGGATCCCACATCTTTGGAGAGCTGTGTGGACAGCTCTGTAGAGAAGAGGGCTCCTATGGGCTTGTTGCCTGAGGCTTTTTACTTCAAAGACAACAACGGGATGGTTTTCTCATCTAATCAGAAAACTACTCCTTTACCCAGAGTCTGAAGGCTTTCCTCTGACACCTGTTGTGTGAATCTGCGGAAAATCCTGAACACCCCATTGTGTTAGCCACCCTATGGTCCCTTGTAGTGTGCTTGCTTGTCACTTTGCTTCTGACCTGATGTTGTGAGTTTGTTTTCTATCACAGTCACATCTGCACCTCCAAATAGTGGTTGTTTCTGGGGGAGACAGAGATCCTCATTCTGTCCTCTTCATAACTTCAAAGACTCCCTCTAGGCTGGCTAACTCTGTTAACTTGACATAAACTAGAGTCATCTGAAAGGATGGAATCCCACATGAGAAAATGCCTCCATGGGATCAGGCTGTGAGCAGACCTATAAAACATGTTCTTAATGAGTGATTGATGTGCAGACCCAGCCATTGTGGGTGGGACCAACTCTAGACTGGTGTATCTAGAATCTATAAGAAAGCAAGCTAAACAAGTATTGAAGAGCAAGTCAGTAAGCAGCACCCTTCCATGGCCTCCAAAAGAGCTTCTACCTCCAAGTTCCTGCCTGATTGAGTTTTTGTCCTGAATTCCTTTGATGATGAACAGTGAATGATACAGAAGTATAAAGTCAAATAAACCCTTTCCTCCCCAAGTTTCTCTGGTCTCGGTGTTTTGTCACCTAGTAATAGTAACCCTAAAAGGCCCTCCAAAGTCAGATTGTGGTGCTTACCTTTGCTCTTCCTCAGCTCTTAACTACAAGTCTCTCTTTAATGTCACCCAACTCGGGGCATAGTGTCATTCACTTATTTAAAGAGAGTCCTGAAAACTAAGCATGTATGGAAACAAGATGTGGTTAGTCAAGGGAGCTTTTCCAGGGAGTGTTTGAGGACTGCAACTCAGATACACATTAGCTGTGAACTTCCACGTAAGGCCTTCCCTTTTTCCTAATAGTTTTCCTACTGCTCATGAAAAGAAACTTTCCCTCTCAAGATCTTGCTTTGGGTTTGATAACATCTCCTACCCATTTTATCATTTTAAAAGCTTTAAACGCTACGGTGGGCGCTTTCTATAAAGTGTTTTAGGTGGAAGTGGTGGGATGGAGTCTTACAATGTAGCACTGGGCTCATGCAGTGTGGTTGCCCTCAGATTTGCAGAAAATCTTGCTGCTTCATTCTCTTAAGGGCTGGGATTGTACACATGAGCTATCACACCTTGCTCATTCTTGCTTTTCTAAAGGCAGGTGGTTTGTATAAGGAGCAAGTCTCTTTCATTCCTCCATACTTGCAACACCACACAGACAATTAGCTTCTTAGAGTCTAAAAGAGTCTCACATAGATAGTTCTGATTATCTAAACAGAGGCTATACCTCACTTTGCCTAGTGTGATGCTAATAAAACTCGGTCCAGTCATCTTCCTGATATAAAGAGCATGACATGGGGGGTTTTCAGACCCCTTTAGGATTGCTTGCTGCTCATGAGATGTTATGTCCTCTGAATCAAGTCAGTTCCTCTGCCGTCGAACATGGTCCTGTGAAGGGGATGTTTCCTGTTCCCTTTAGAAATGTGTGCTTAGAAAGAACAGAATTGCTCCAGAGGGAAAGTTCTGACCTGCTTTTTACAATGTTGTGCTGGGAAGTCTACGATGTGACTTCAGCAATCCTCACAAATTAAAAAGATCACACACAGAGAAACTAGGCAGACACCAAGTGCCATCACTCCCTCCCATCCCAGCCTAGGGGATCTATTGGCATGTGATCTCTAGTTTCATAACCCTTCAGAGTACTAAAATCATCTCTGTTCAACATTCTCTGCCATGAAGGTTCTTTCTTCCTGTATCTCCTTTCAGTGATACCAACTATCCCTGTCTTTAAAGCTCAGACTTCAGGATCCTGCTAGGTATATCGCTGTCCTAAGGTTTGTCACATTCCTCTAATTTTTGTGTATCTACTCACCTTGTCATATTATTAATATATGAAGTTCATCTTTCTCCAGTCTTGAATTCAGCATGCATGCTTTCTTCCATTTTGTTCTAACAAATGGAAAATCATTCTTGTCTAGAAATTTTATTCCTCCATAGCATTGGCTTATGGTCACTCTTGCTCACCTGAGACTTCCTTAATCTGTTTGTTGCTCCCAGCCTATCTCCTATTCCAGCACTCTGAGATTTAACACATCTCATCTCAAGTCTTCAGCATCTGCTTGGACCTCCTCCTTCTGTATCAAAAGACATTCTATTTCAAAATGTTTAAGAGCTAACTGTATTGCTCAAACAAATGACTATTGATGATAACTGAAGCTTAGTGTGACTTCAATTAGATACTTCCATATTGTCCAAGGTCTTACTTAGCCCTGACTGTGTTTTCAGACTTTCTGCTTCCTCCTCTCACACTCTTCTCCCTATCTTTCTCAATCATGCAAATAAGACACTTTGCAAATGGTTCACTGACTCTGAGCACTCCTGCTTTCATGCCATTGGTACATCATTTCTTTACCAGTCTTTGCCAAAGGATCTTGTCCTTTCCCCAAGTGTTCCCATCATCAGAGTAGTAAACTGCTGCTTCCTTTTAAAGTCTACCTTGCTGTGGGACATTGGTCTTGTAATTTGTAAAGATTTGTCAGTTGTATTGTTTTAATAAAACGCTGATGACCCAGTAGCCAGGCA